CTACATTTATAGATTTAAGTTAAAAGAGTCTCTGCCGGCATGGTGGCTCACACCTATCATCCCAGCACTTCGGGAGGCCGAGGTATGAGGGTCACTTGAGCCCAGGTTTTGGAGACCAACCTGGGCAACATAGTCAGACCCTGTGTCTATCAAAAATAAAAAAATTAGCCAGGCATGATGGTTCCTCTATAATCCCAGCACTTTGGGAAGCCAAGGCAGGAGAATCATCTGAGTCCAGGAATTAAAGACCAGCCTGGGCAACATTACGAGACCTTGTCTCTACAAAATAAAATTAAAAAGTTAGCCGGGCGTGGTGGTACATGCTTGTAGTTCTAGCTTCTTGGGAGGCTAAGGTGGGAGAATCCAGGAGGTTGAGGCTACTGTGAGCTTAGATCATGCTGCTGCACTCAAAGAGTCTCTTCTCAACCTAAGCATCTTTCTCTACCTAGGTCAGGTGGGTTTTAGTAGAGTACTCCATCTCAGCACTTTGCACACGGTATTGGGTTTTGTGTGTGTTTTCTGCTGTCAGCTCCTTTGCACTGAGGACTGTGAGGAGCAAGGGACCATTTTATTCGACTTTGCACACCCAACCTACCATAGGTTGGAGACCTTGGATGTTGGTATGCGACAGATGGACGTTAGTGTGGCATGTGTGGCATGACTTATCCTAACACTTTGGGCGAAGGGCAGAGTCTGTGAACTCGGTGTGTTGTAGACTGTGAATTCATCTTGATTGTTTCATATTGTCCCTGGAGAAAATAGGCGCCTGGGAGTGAGCCCTGGACTGGATATCTCAGTTTCATAATGGGTTTGTCTATGCCCTGGTTTTTCTTGTCCTTAGAATTCCATCTTGCAACGAGTGAGCTTGGTTCCTGCTTTGGGGATGCAGTGCTTTCTGCTGCACAAGGGGTGGGGGCAGCGTCTTGGCAGGGCTCATGGAAGCCCCAGGGGAAGTCCTGCGGTTTTGACAGCCTCTAAGAGGGGGTGGGACAGACTCCATTGAAGCAGTTTCAAGAAGCGGCTCCTTTCAGCGAGGGCAACAAGGAGCGTCTTGTTCTGTCCTCTGGAGTTTCTGTGAGGGGCCGCCGTGTCTAAGGGATGCCATTAGCATCCAGGCAGGATGCCACCGGACGGAAAGGTTTCATCTGGACTTCTGGAAACGGGTGGCAGGGTGAAACCGCCATTGAAGCTGGCCAGTTGACACCAGAGATGGGCCTTGCCTGGCAAGTCATATGTGCTAGAATCTAAGTCTCTCCAGGAAGACAGTGTATGGGCCGTGTCTTACTTGTTTGGGTATGGCGCTCAGAGACAGATGGATCATTTGAGAGTCCTCTTGGCGAGCAGCTCTTCCATCCATGAGATACTGAGTTTCCAGTTGGTTTTGTATTTTGGAAATTCCAGTGGAGTCTGAGTGAAAAATAGATTTTATCCTAACAAACAGATAATATTGAAATGTAAGTGCTTGTTTGGGGATTCTTTTAAAGGAAGTTGTGCTTTGTTTCTTTTTCTTTTTCTTTTTCTTCTTCTTTTCTTTTTTTTTTTTTTTGAGTTGGAGTCTCACTCTGTTGCCCAGGCTGGAGTGCTATGGCTCCATCACGGTTCACTGCAGCCTCAACCTCCCGGGCTCAGGTGATTTTCCCACCTCAGCCTCCCGATTAGCTGGGACTACCATCACCCACCACCACAGCTGGCTTACTTTTAAAATTTATTGTAGAGATAAGATCTCGCCATGTTGCCCAGGCTGTTCTTGAACTCCTGGGCTCAAGCAATCCTCTCTCCTCGGCCTCCCAAAGTGCTGGGATTACAGGCATGAGTCACCACGCCTCTAGCCTTATTTGTTTCTTATAAAACCACTGAAGAGCCCTTTTGTCCTGTGTTAGAGATAGAGAGAGAGAGAGAGAGAGAGAGAGAGAGAGAGAGAGAGAGTTTTTAAAAAGCAAGACAGTATCATCAGTTTCTATATAAATTATGCATGCTACTACTCGACACACTAGCTTGACCAGGGCCCAGCTTCATTTTAGTCTTTGAAAACTATTTTTCAGAATTATGGCAGTTTTATCCTTTCTGCTTTCCCCCATTATTTTGTAAGCACCTACTAGGAAACACCACCTCTTTGATCCCACTCTGCTTGGGAGTAGGTGCTTAACCCTCAAATTTTTTCCCCCAAGATTGTTATAAAAGTTAGATTAGATGATACTCAGTACCTACCTGACACATAAATGCCTCATAATATTATTTAGAACGAGACAGAATTCCTGCCCTCCCAGCATTTGTGAACTGGAAAGAGAAGCAGGCAATCAATAAATGATTGGGATTCAGTATGCAAGGAATGATATGATTCATTTATCAGCAGATATATACTGAGCCCCTGTTTTGTGTCTGGTGTGTTCTGGAAGTAATGACTTGAACCAAACAGACAAGATGCCTGCCTTTATAAGGTTTGTGTTGACCAGCAGCATGATGGGACAGTACAGAGAGACACCCTGGGAACAGAATTATCAGACTGGGGTAGGGGTGGAAGGGTTTAGCCTTCACATCAGAGGAGGCAACGAGGAGGAAGCGAGACTTATTTTTTCAATATTGAGTGGACACATTGAACAAAAGAAGCCAAATAAAAAAGTATCTATACTGGAGCATTTTGTTTTCATGAAGTACAAAGAGTCATAGTGTTAGAAATTCCACAGTAATAGAAATCACAATAGCAGTTACCTTTGGATGGAGGTTATTGATTGGGAAAAGGGATCAACAGGAACAGCCTGGCATGTCCCTGTCTTGATCTGGCAGTGCGTGTCCATGAGGATACACAAGTAAACACAGTGGCTGTGTGAGTGTGGTGACTCATGCCTGTAATCCCAGCACTTCGGGAGGCCCAGGTGGGAAGACTGCTTGAGCCCAAGCGTTTGAGGCCAACCTGGGCAACGTAGCGAGACCCTGTCTCTGCAAAAATAAAAATAAAATTAGCTGGGTATGGTGGCATGTACCCGTAGTCCCAGCTACTTGGGAGGCTGAGGTAGAAGGATTGCACAAGCCCAAGAGTCTTAGGCTGTCATGAGCTGTAATCACTCCCCTGCACTCCAGCCTGGGCAACAGTGAGACCTTGTCTCAAAAATAATAGTAATAATAATAATAAATCAAACACTCACAGAGCCGTAGACCCTTACATTTAGCTGTTTATGTTATGTATAGTATTTCTCAAAAAAAAAAAAAAAAGACAATAATGAGTGGGTGTAGCTAGATAAAAACAGAGAAGAACTAGGGAAAGACTCTAGGCAGGGGGCTGTCTTCTGTGCTTAAAGTCCTCCTACTGCCTGGATGGAAGGATGTGCTTGGGGTGAAGATGGGTGATAGCCGCGATCATCTGTCTGTGGATACAGGCTCTTATGAGAGAAAAGATTTTTTTTCAAGTGTTAGGCATAAAAGCATTTATTCTCTTTTCTTCTACTTTTCTTTCACGTTGGGGTCTCACTCTGTCTCCCAGGTTGGAGTACAGTGGCACAATAACAGCTCACTGCAGCCTCGACCTCCTGGGCTCAGGCGATCCTTACACCTCAGCCTCCTAAGTAGCTGGGACTACAGGCATGCACCACCACGTGCAGCTAATTTTTTGATTTTTTGTAGAGACAAGGCCTCGCTCTATTGCCCAGGCTGGTCTTGAACTCCTGGGCTCAAACAATCCTCCCACCTCAGCCTCCCAAAGTGCTGGGATTTCAGTCGTGAGCCACCACGCCTGGCCCTTTTATTCTTAAGAAGGTAGAGTGGCGTAGAAATTGACCTTGGTTTGTATTGCTTACGTCGGACCTTCTGTGTAGTCTTTGCATCTTCCAAATTGACTTTTGGGAGGATTATGTGAAATAATGGATGTCAGGCACTGTGTGTGACATGGCTGTGGCTTTAATGAATGCTTTAGAGATTTAAAAGTGTGTGTGTGTGTGTGTGTGTGTGTGTTTCATTTAATTAGCTACAGTCCTAACAGTTCTCAAAATAAAAAACTAGAGTGACTCTATTATATGGAACAGTGCTCACTTATCTGAAACATTTGATCCTTTAGTTAAATAATGATTTTGTTTCATGTAATTAGAGTTTATTATTGTATAGAAAGCCTTGGTTAGTTTCTTTCTCTTCTTTACTCATTAAACCATTCTAAGCATTTGAGAACAGTCTAAAAATTGTCAAAGAATGTCTATTTCAATAAAGCTCATATTTAGCAAAATTAGGTATGAGAGATGAGACAACTTTAAATATGCTGTTTCTTATCTTCTTTTCCAAAATGTGGGAAGAGGAAGAAGTGGAGACATTGCTTTACTAGGAATTTTTTAAAATGAAATTTACCTTTCTGAACTGCGAAACATCAGATTGTGAATGTGCTAAAGACCTTTCTGTGCTTGTAATGTATTAGCGTAATCAACTATTAAATTTTAAACTGTCTGGCTGAATGCAGTGGCTCACGCCTATAATCCCAGCACTTTGGGAGACCGAAGCAGGAAGATTACTTGAGCCCAGGAGTTTGAGACCAGCCTGGACAGCCATAATGAGACGTCGTCTCTAGAAAAAAATAAAAAATCAGCCAGGCATGGTGGCATATGCCTGCAGTCCCAGCTACTGAGGAGGCTGAGGTGGGAGGATCGCCTGAACCCAGCAGGTCAAGGCTGTGGTGAGCCTTGATTATGCCGCTGCACTCCAGCCTGGGTGACAGAGATCCCAACTTTAAATAAATAAGTAAATAAATTAAAGAATTTTCAATGAATTATCACATAAGCTCCATTTGATCCATAACTAAGCCAGATTCATTTAGAACCTTTTAACAAAGATTAATTTTCTGCCTATTTTAGATTTCCCAAACTATCCATTTGAAAACTACCCTTACCTTGTTTTGAAATCCAGTCCCAGGCCTCTCTAGTGAAGTGCTCCAGTTTTCAGAGAGTGGCTGTCTAGATAGAATATACTTCGTTCCGTGTCTAAACACCTTGACTTTCTCAATCGGATCTGCCCTCTGTGTTTAGGAGCGAGCGAGCCCGCTGGATAACCGCCCTGGGACACAGCAGCGGGAAGCCCCCTGCGGACCGAACCTGTAAGTTCCCCGTGGCAGCCCTCGGGTACATGGAGGGGCTCTGCCCCCTGCTGGACGCTGGTGAATGACACCACCACCACCCTTGCTTTCCTTCAAGGTTTTCTTTCTTCTACCTTGCATCAAAGCAGTGTGATCCCTGCTTGGGAAGTCAGGGGGTCTGAGTTCAAATCCAAGGTGCGTTTCTTTGTTGTGTAAACGTGGCAAATCATTGCTTAGTCCTCCGAAGCCCATGTAACCCTCTGCAAGTCAGGTATATCATTATATGCAACATGGGGTTATTGTGAATATCAAGTTAAATAGTAAAATAGTACACGTTGAAAGCCCTACTGAAACTGTAACTCTTTTACCATTTGAGCTCTTTTTAGTGGGCAGTGGTTGCACATTTAAACCTTCTCCATACTGACAGTCTGAATCTAAGCTGAAAAGTATTTTTAACCTAAAAGAAAATTACTTAACCATTCCTTTTGACCTTTTAAGAAGGTGTATCTCATTCTTCCAGAGAGCTAGGAAAGTGGTGCAGTGGAGGGTGGTGCCATGTGCTTATTAGCTCCCTAACTTTGATGTTAGGCTTCTTTGGTTGATTCTAGTTGGAAGGTCAAATCCAAAGAATTAGGGCAGCAAAACTGATTATCCTGGAGCGCTCAAAAAGCATAGCTTTAAGCTTAGAGTCAAAGCGTGATTGGTTTGAAAGTTCCCTAGAATCAAGTTTTATATTAAAAAACAAATTATCTAAGTAAGAAGTCACATGTCAGCATTTTGGGGGAACTCTAAACTGTCTTCTAAGCTTTTGATTGGAGCTACTTTTATTTATTTTCATAAAAAAAATTTTTTTTTTTAATTTTAGGGACAGGGTCTCACTCTGTTGCCCAGATTGGAGTGCAGTAGCATGATCATAGGTCACTGTTACCTCAAACTCCTGGGTTCAAGTGATCCTCCTGCCTCGGCCTCCTGAAGTGCTGAGATTATAGGCATGAGCCACCATGCCCAGCCAGAGCTCTTTTTATTTCTAAACTTCTTTAGAAATTCATGCATTGTCACTGAAATGGGGAAACACACTGGATGAGAGCCAGGAAGACCGGGTCTGTTGCAGATTTTGTCATCAGCTGCATGACCTTGGCACATTACCCACTCTTTCTCGCCTCAGTTTCCCCAATGCACGGTGGCTGTTTTCTGCCTCGTTGTTTGACATGACTAATGACTTTCGATCAAGCTATTCCTGAGGAAATCATACATCATCGAAGCCCTCTCAAATCTGAGCTTCTAACATTCTGGGACTTGTAGCCAAGTAAGGGAGTGTCTAGCTGGCCCTGAACTGCACAGAAAGACTGAGTACATGTGTGCTGTGGGAGGATATGTGTCTTGTTTCCCTTTTGCTGCTGGAAACTCAGTGCGTCCTCTTTCCACCGCAGCCCTGACCCAGGTGGAAATCATCAGGTCGTTTACTGCCAAGCAGCCAGATGAACTGTCTTTGCAGGTGGCAGACGTGGTGCTCATTTATCAGCGTGTCAGCGACGGTGAGTGAGGGTGTCCTTACAGGGAACTTGGGGTCCAGGATTCAGGGCACCACAGACCCCAGAGTCTCATTGGCCATGAATGCCCATGTTCTGAGTCCTGATGCCTGAATGTTGGAAATCACGTGTGCTGCTTCTCGTTTCTAAGGTTAACTTTGCTGCTTCTCTGTTCTTATTCCTTTTCTTCTTCCCTGGGACTTTATTTCCTAAGTTAGTGGCTTCCCAGAGGCCTAGAGAGGACTGAGACAGGTATCTGGGGAACTTTGAAATATTAGAAAACTTTACTGAACACCCTCTTCTATATGCTTTTCCTTCTGCTTCCTCACATGCACCTGCCTCTATCTCTCCACTCTTATCATTTATCTGCACTCTGAGGGGAGAAGACTCGAGGTCTCTCTGTCACCCAGGCTGGAGTGCAGTGGCACGATCATGACTCACTGTAACCTCGACCTCTTGGCCTCAGGTGATCCTTCCACTTCAGCCTCCCAAGTAGCTGAGACTACGGGCACATGCCTGGCTTTATTTTTTTTTTATTTTTTAATTTGTAGTAGAGACAAGGTCTAGCTACGTTGTCCCAGCTGGTCTCAAACTCTCAGGCTCAAGCTGTCCTCCCTCCTTAGCCTCCCAAAGTGCTGGGATTATAGGTATGAGCCACCACATCCAGTCAGTCTATACTTGTTTTTGAAACAAACCAATTTCATGGTTTGTCATTTAAAAGGAAACCATGAAGTTGTCTTTCCCTCCTAGTCCCCCAGTGACCTCGTTCTCACCTCCAAAGTTTCTTACTTACTTCCAAAAAATGGTTGTCTTCTGCTTCCTCTACCCAAAACATCCCGGCTCAGCCCAAGCTCCCCACTCAGCCTCCTCCCTTCATGACCTCTGCTCCTGTTCTGTCTTCCTTGAAATCTTTCCCTGTCCGACTTTTGTCTTCCCACCTTTCCTGACTCTTGGCACCCAGCCTGGAGAGGGATGCCGCCTCTGAGCTCATCTCCCCCCCTCCTAGGAGCCGGGCACACTCCTGATGCTTGGTGCCCGATGCGGACTCTGTTCTTTTTGCAGGCTGGTATGAGGGGGAACGCCTGCGAGACGGAGAGAGGGGCTGGTTTCCCATGGAATGTGCCAAGGAGATAACGTGTCAAGCTACGATCGATAAGAATGTAGAGAGGATGGGACGCTTGCTAGGCCTGGAGACCAACGTGTAGCCTGTCGGGCGGCCTTCTGTGAGGCGAGATTTGCACTACATGCGGTGGGCTGGTTGGTTCTGGGCTGCTTTTGTTGTTAATGTTATCACAGCCTATTTAATTAAAAGAATGAAAACACCCGCCTTGAAGCTTGCCAGGTTGTTCTATTCTGTCAGGAGAACAGCTGCTGGACCCCGTTAGCCCACACAGCTCAGTTTTTACATGACCATCCCCTCACGAATCTCCTGAGGTTCCAGAACAGCCGAGCAGCCCACATCCGGGGTCAAGAGGTCTCAGCAACCCTTCTAGTTCCAGAAAAATGTGTGCTGGATGCTGGGTCCTAGTTTTCTCTGTCCTCACTTCACTGAGGTCACTCTTATTCCTTCAGCATCTCCTTTATATGGTTCCGGTAATAGTAAGATTTTGTGTCTTTAAGGAATATCCAGTTTTGTAAATAGTTTTCCTGCATCATATTTTTTTTTACATCTGATTCTAATGCTATGCTCATTTCAAAAGGTGAAGTTCAGAAGGTGAGCTGTTCTGTTTTTCTAAACCTTCCCAGAAAAGAGACATGACACTATTTTTGTCACCTTTTTCCACATTAGAAGGAAAGTAACTGGGTGCAGTGCTCACGCCTGTACTCAAGGGACTTTGAGAAACTGAGCCTGGAGGATTGCTTGAATCCAGGAGTTTGAGACCAGCCTGGGCAACATAGCAAGAACTCATCTCTACAAAAAATAAAAAAATTAACTGGGTGTGGCACTGTGCACCTGCAGTCTCAGCTACTCGAGAGGCTGAGGCGGGAGGATATCCTGAGCCTTGGAGGGTAGAACCTTACTTTAAAGACTTTTTAAAAATTCATCTCGGCCGGACTCAGTGGCTCAGCCTGTAATCCCAGCACTTTGGGAGTCTGCGGCAAGTGGATTGCTTGAGCCCGCGAGTTCAAGACCAGCCCAGGCAACTTGGTGAGACCTCATCTCTACAATAAATAAAAAATTAACCAGGTGTGGTAGCGCATGCCTGTAGTTCTGGTTGCTTGGAAGGCTGAGGTGGAAGGGTCACGGGAACCCAGCAGGTCAATGCTGGGGTGGCTGTGAGTGTGCCACTGCAATTCAGCCTGGGCAACAGAGTGAGACTCCAACTTAAAAAAAAAAAACTCCATCTCACCTAGACCGATCTTAAATAAGTATAGCCTAATAAACCCTGGTTACTTTAAACAATGCAGAATTCAGATGATTAACATACGTGAGAACCCTGAACACATGACAGGAATCCTACTTTCCACTTTTCCTTAAATCTTCCCAAATAAGGTGATGAGAAACCAACATGAGGCTGTGGTCAGTTTTTGACTGTTCCTACTCCAGTTTCTTAATGGAAAAGGAGCTGGAACACGCCATAACAATCTCAAGGAAGGTACAAGTAGACCTTCAAGAACATCAAGACACCAGCACACTACCCAACTGAAACCCTTTGACCTTAGTGGAAATCCATTGTTTGCACTAAAGGCTTTACTGGCTGCATTCGGGGTCTCTCTCAATGGTGAGTTTCTGTGGAACTTTATTTCTTCCACTAGTGCAAGGAGAGAGAAAAGTTGTTTCATAGTTTCATAGAGATGATGAGAGTTTGGAAGACAGAGGGGGAGAAATTACTGGCTGCTATATTCCCTCTCGACTCCATTGTCTTTGACAGAGTGTACTTTATTGGAGGACTCAGTCTATGTGTGACATATCTCAGCTGCTGGCTACTAACTAGTCACCCAAATTGTGAGTAAGGTTCCAGAAGCCCAGTGTGGTGGTAATTGTGCCTGCCTCACACTCCCTCTGCCATTACCTCAGCAGTGAGCCAGTGGGGGGGACTGGGGGCTTCTGCCCTTGGACCTGTACACACATTCTGGTTGTAAAAGACATTCCAGGCTGGGCACTGTGGCTCACACCTGTAATTCCAGCACTTTGGGAGGCCGAGGCAGGATTACTTGAGCCCAGGAGTTGAAGACCAGCTTGGGCAACATAGCGAGACCTTGTCTCTACAATCAAAAAAATTAGCAGGGCCTGGTGGTTATGCACCTATAATCCCAGCTACTTGGGAGGCTGAGGCAGGAGGGTCATTTAAGCCCAGGAGGTGGAGGCTGCAGTGATCCGTGATCGTGCCACCATACTCCAGCCTGGGCAACCGAGTGAGTCCTCGACTCCAAAAAAAAAAAAAAGACATTTCAGACCCGAGTTCCTTGAGGTCTGGACAACTATTTTCATAAGGACATTGCAGTGTACTACAGTAAGAGATGTTTCAAGGTTTGCAAAATAAGAAGTCTGTTTTTTTCATAATGTCATAGACTTTTTAGAGGTGAGGCCAACAAGTTGTAATCTAATGTCATGTTTTATTTAAGAGGGAAAGTAAATTTGTTGCTTGCAAGGAGATCATTTTGTCACAGGATTTTTGCTAAATCCCAGTTAGAGCTAAAAGGCAACTCTGTGAATCCTATGAATTAATTTATAAGTGGATCTGTTAAACAGTTTTGGAAACACGTGCATCATATAAATCAAAGTCTTATTTAGCGAGTAGATTAATGCTATTAGATAAAGCATTGTTACACAGCAGGTACTTAACACATTCACAGTGTTTAGTTTCAACCGTGAATTGTTTTAACATGACATAGTGTTTTATTTCAAACCTAGTTTGCAGTTTCTGTGAACACCGTCTTTGAATTGTATAGTGACTTCATTCCTGAAGAACAAAAAAATGTTCACTTTTTTGTCCCAATAAATTGAGACTGCTTGTACACTTTCAACAAAGTATGTGACTTTATAAAGATTTTGTATATATGTGTCCTTTGATGCTTTTGTGATGTAATTTACTCTAGATTGTCTTCAGTGAAGTGCATGGTTTTCTGGATTTGGGGCCAAATCCAAGTTCTCTGGGGTGGGGCATGAACCTGAACGACCTAAAGCTTTGCTCTCTGGGCTTCCAGCACATTCAGGTTCTGGCAGAAGGAAATGCAGCCTGTCTCTGGGGAAACCAACATCCTGTTAGTCCTCAATTGTCTATCACTGATATTGCAGGGACTCATCTTGTGTCTTTGGGTCCACGCTGGCATCAGCTGTCCTGGAAGACTAGAATGTTTCCAGGAGAGAGGCTGTGCTGTTTCTTCTCAAAGTTGCCACAAAACAGCAGGCCTTAATAGCTTATTTTCAGTAGTGCAGTTTCCTTACTGCTGATTGTCCCTGGAGCATATCTTGTTGTCCATTTTGGCCACCCACTGTCTGAACCTTGGTGCTTGTGAAATGTTGCCACCTTGTGAGTCTTGGTGGAAAGCAAAGAATGACTCCTGTGTTTTCCATTGCTGCACAGCAAGCTGCCGCAAGTTGGGGGGCTTAAAACAACACCCATGGACTATCTCACTGTTCTGTGGTCAGAAGTCCAGGATGGCATGGCTGAGTTCTCTGCTCAGAGTCCCCAGGGCTGAAATTGAAGTGCGGGCTGGCTGCTTTCTCCTCAGGAGCCTCTGGTGTCTTCTTTCAAGCCATTACTGTTATTGGCAGAATTCGCGAATTGCAGATGTGAGGTCCCATTTGCTTGTTGTCAGCTGGGGGCCGCCCCTGACTTCAAGAGAACATTTGTATTCCTTGCCACTCCTTCCATCTTAAAGGCAGCAATAGACATGTTGAATCCTTTTCCTACTTGGAATTTCTCTGAGGCTACCCGGGGAAGGAAAACTCTGCTTTAAAAAACATATACAGGCCAGGTGTGGTGGCTCATACTTGTAATTCCAGCACATTGGGAGGCTGAGGCAGGCAGACTGCTTGAACCCAGAAGTTCGAGGCCAGCAACATCATGAAACCGCATCTCTAAAAAATAAAAATATTAACCAATGTGGTGTCACATGCCTGTAGTCTCCAGCTATGTGGGGCTGGAGCAAATTGGGGGCTGAGGCAGGAGGATCTCCTGAGCCCAGGAGGTCAAGGCTGCAGTAAGCTGTGATGGTGCCACTGTACTCCAGCCTGGGTGGCAGAGTGAGACCCTGAAGCCCCCCCCCCCCCAATTTTTTTTCCTTTGCTGTGAAACATATAAACACAGATGTAAAACCACGGAGGGGTGAGCTGGGGCCATCTTGAAATTCTGCCTACAATACTGAAACCTTAAGATGCTTACTTTCCCATCATTCCTTGTAGCTAAGATAGAGCTGTGTGATGGGAAACACCAGTCAGAGACCTCTCTCTGAGGATACACCAATCAAAGACCTCTTTGCTGGATTTCCACTCAAGCTAGTGATGGAAGAGGAAAGAGCTGGGGAGTAGCGTCTCTGGAAGCAGCAGGGTGCATCTGCTTCTTTGCTCCATTCCTTATCCCAAATTGCTGCTGCATTTTCTCTGAGCTTTGAGAAGCAGCAGAGAGGAGGAGCTAGTTGGTGGACTGACAGTGCTAAACAGTGAGTCAGTTTAGTACCTAAATCATTGATAACCAAGAGGCTTACTCTGGAGTGGGAGTGTGAACCTGAAAGACCTTAAGCTTTGCTCCCTGGGATTCTAGCATATCAAAGTCCTGGCAGGAGGAAGCACAACCTCTCTCTGGAGGCAGGTGTCATCCCCTTAGTTCTGTTATTTCGAACATAGAATTGTGATATAGAAAAAGCAAACACAGGGACTCCAGAGACTAAAGTTATCAGGTATAGACAGTAATAGAATTATTGCTGTTTAGAGATAAAGCCTAAATTTAAAACGCAATATAGAAACTACAAACATCAACGAGAATGAAAATAAAAATCGCCGGGCTCAGTGACTCAGCCTGTAATCCCGTGCCTTTGGGAGGCTGAGGTGAGTGGATTGTCTGAGCCCGCGGGTTCGAGAGCCGCCTGGGTAACTTGGCGAGACCTCATCTCTACAATACACCAAAAAATTAGCCGGGCGTGATAGTGCGCACCTGTAGTTCAAGCTACTTGGAAGGCTGAGGCGGAAGGATTGCCAGAGCCCAGCAGGTCGAGGCTGCAGTGGCCGGGAGCAGCCACTGCACTCCAGTCTGGGCAACAGAGTGAGACTTCAACTCAAAACAAAAAAGAAAAGAAAAGAAAAATCTAGGGATTATAGAGCTGGGTTTTTTTTTTTTGATATGTGGTCATACTCTTTCCCTCAGGCTGGAGTGTGATGGCACA